CACCCTCTCCAGGTACAGGTACGAGTTGAGGTGGGCAGTCTGCAAGCAGAATGTACTTTTTGCAAAAAACTTTTGATCGAATTATTTGATGGCTACACCCCGTATGAAGGTGTAGTTCTGAGATCACGGTGCGATGTCGCGCCCATGTTCAGCTCAATTTGCGCACCAAGTAGAGATGGACTTCTTCTCGGTGCGTGTCGCTGTTGCAGTAACACGAACTGGGCCTGTACCGTATTCCGACGTGCCGACATCGTATTTCCCATCAGAAACAGTCGAAATACGATAAGAGTAGGTACGCACGCACGCAGTGAGACAGCCGCCCTCACTTGGTGCACATATTTGAAATGCAAAAGGGCGTGACCTCGCGCAGTGACCTCCTGACACATACCCTCCATGCTCAAATATATTAGTTCAACCAGAGGTGCAAAAAACATGCCCTCGCTTTCTTGTGCAATCCCGTCTTTTGGCAAGCTTCAATATGCGATTGTGAATAATCTTGACTCACATCCTGTATCTACGCTATCTGGCGAACGGCAACAGTAGAACGCATTGACTGAAGTGGCTGTGGTGGAGAACCAGCAGAAGAAGTTGCCCGGACACGCTCCATCCACATTCGGCGTACACTGCATCGGTTGAAGAGACAGCGCTGAGATGAACGGCGTGGAAGAAGTGGGGCAGAGAGCTGAATAGAAAAGTTAGGTACGGATATATCGGCACAGAAGAGCCCACTTTCAAAATCAAGAAGCAAGATCAGCTGAACACTCCAGGAATGGGACTACATCTGTTACAGAATTGGTTTTTCACTAATGAAATGGAGTTGAAATTCTTCTCGGGTTCGAGTTCCGCTAGTTGTGATTCCCAAACTATTGGAACGACTACGTTTTCTCGATCACATCCTCCCCCTGAAAGACTTTCTTCGCTATTTCGAGAATGGAGTTCAAATTTGACACATTTACACAGTCACAGCGCCCTCAAAATCATTTTATGATTCACCTCTCAATTTTTTGTGTTTTTGCTTTCAGTTGCATTCTTCCGATTTTCGGAAACTCTTACATTATAGGCAACTGCACTGACCGAAGATGCTCACCCTGTGTCAACGGGCTGAGGGTGAGGAAAAAAAAGCAGTTGGCACCTCCTGTATACATCTAATCTTCATGTTGAGCAGAAGAAAAATCCGAGGGTTTCTAAGGCCGTAAGACTATAAACTCAAATACCAAAAATTTCTGGACGAATGTTGTAGTTGCAGGTTGAGATGATTTACTGGCAGAGATGTCACTTCCCACGCGCACACTCCCAGAGTGATCGACATCGCCGAGGCCAATCAATCCCTCCACCCCTATGGGGTCGGTTTGGTATCAGATTTGTCTAGATATAAAAAGTGACTTGTAAATCGCGTGAGTAGGTGTAGGATTATTGCATTTGAATGGCATTGCAATTTTGGAATAGAAGGAGTGTGCATGATGCATCCAACACCAAACTCTCTATCCTTTTCCTAATTTGCTGTGGACTTGAAGCTACTTTCGGGAATCAAATCGTGTTTTGCAGTGTGCGATCAGTAAGGAAGGACCTTTCTTTCTCCCTTGATGATTCACTCACATTGAAGTTCCGTGCTGGCTCCACAACACACACTCTGATCCAGTAATGGAGACGAATAGCACGTGTATCCATCGGGACATCCACCAGAAACACGACCTTGTCCACCTGAATTTAACGAGATTAATTTTAAAAACCAAATTCTGGGGAAAAACATCAAACTATATGACGCTTCTAGATTTGCGCTTACCAGGATTGCTGCATTGAACCAAGCGGCTGCCTTCACCATCTTTAGCGACCACCGTTCCAGGAGGACATGCCTCAGACAAGACAGTAGTTTTGACAGGATTTTTGTGACGCAAAGTTGTTCCGGTTTCCTAAAAAAAGACCTTGGAGTATTCAAATGTTCCAAAAAAGGAATCAAAGAATTCGTTTCGGAGAGCGAAGATGGCTACAATTTTACCAGCTTGTTGTAAGTAAATAAACAAATGAATAAGTACAAATCGACCTTTGAAAAAAAGCTCTGACAAAATGTATGCGATGCTACGAGTACTTCAGACGAAGAGAATCCAATGGAGTACTCTGGCACGCGGTATAGACGAATAGATATGCTTCCAGCGTCGCTTCGAGGGATTCGATGAACAAGGCGAGGACAGCTGATACCGATGATAACAATTAGTGGGGAAGGAGAGCAAATTAAGTAAAAGGAGTGTCGCAACCTCACATATAGCTCAAATCAAGTCCCAAATTCATTCCCGACCAAGGCTTGCAAGCTCTCTACACCAGTTGTACAGCCCCCCCCCCTACCGACTCAGAGGATACCTGAGATCACGGTTCAGAATGAAATAGGATGTGCGGCACATCGAGAAAAAGATAAATGCCAAGCGCTTTGTCCTTTTTTCCCTTTACGGACGCAAGCGGTTCTTCTAGAGACCACTTCAAGGCGGAGGGCGAAAGTTGTGTAGTGCAATTGCGCTGCTACCACATTCGGTGGATCGTCCGGGTTAACCGAGCTCTCCATACTTCCGAGGTCGGTTATCCGGCAATAAACTTGTCTAGGAGAATAAAAACACTAACTTGTACATCGGCTAGCCCCGCAAGTCACTGTATAGATCAAATCGCATTCCAAATACGAATGTAAAAGTGGAAGTAGAATGCGTGCCGCATCCCAGAAAAGGGATCGATCAACGGCAGATGCTTATGCAAGAACACGATAGTTGGAGTAGGGCGTTTTGGTAACGTCAATGGACCGTATATGTGGGGCCAAACTGCTAAGCACGTTGGGGAAGTGTAGGACGCTCCTATGGACGTTTGCATCAACAACGTTATGGCTTCACCGAATCTAGCTCCGCTTCCACTAGCGTATTCGCTCTTGCTCATAAACCCTGCAGCGAGGGAGAATAATTTCAGTTTTCTTTCTGAGTTCATGGGGGCTATAATGCAGAAGACGTGGGCATTACCTTCGACGGTGAGCGCAGCGGTGAAGAACTGGAGACCCCTACCTTTCCGATTAGAGAGAAAGCTCCGAGAAGAGACAAATATTCTCTTAAAGAGTATGCAGAGGAATTGGGGGTTGGAGTGCGAGGATAGGTGCATCGCAGGCAAACGGTATGAGAAATCAGCTTTGACAGGTCCATTTACTTTCCTCTCTCGTACTTCCTTTGCAAGCCTTCGCGGTAGGAGCTCAAGAGGAAAACCTAGATTATTGTATAAATGAGTCGAGAGCAAATCGAACTAATTAGTAACAATAACAAGATATTACGAGGGCGGAAGTGGTGTAGTGACAAGTGGCGCGCTTACCACGCGAGCGGGATCAAATCCTGGGTCGTGAGTCGCCCGGGCCAACCAAGCCTTCCATCCCTCCGGGGTCGGTTAATTGGTACCAGACTTGTCTGGGAGGATAAAAACACTGACTTGAACATCGGCTGGCCCCCGCAAGTCATTGTATAGGCCACATCGCATTCAAACGCCACTACGAATGTACAAATGGAAGTAGAATGCGTGCCGCATCCCAAAAAGGGATTGATCAACGGCAAATGCTTTATCCTTTATCCTTTTATAGATTAAACCTCGTTGTAACCCTCGCACGCATGGCTCTCTACAGTTTTCGCTTACAACACGAGTTTCAGGTCTCTAGCCTGGTAATTAGCAAAAAGGTATTCTAAGTTCCATCGTAGTTCAGCTCCCAAGAAACCGTGAAAGGTTGACGTTTAACATACGGTTTACTCAACACTGCGATATTGCATAAACCTCTTCCAAAGGCCTTTTTATTGCAAAAATTGATGAAAGTTGCTGGAGGCAACTCATAAACGGAACCAAAAATCCACAGCGCTTTTAAATTACTCACCTTCACAGCCGTTATACTCGAATGTCTGGCAGCTTTTCGAATCGGCATTGAAATACCATCGAGTGATTCGTGTACTTGAGCATCGTACACCGACATCTCGTGGTTGAGAGCACACAAAGTTTTTCGATGGACAACACAGCGATTTGGTCTGGTAGACGGTTCCTAAATAGAAAATGTACTCACTTCACAATCATCATACCTTCATGGTAGGTGATTATTCAACTCAGCCTTCATGGTACACATGAAGAGCTGAGTTGAATGAATTGTTGCCCGGGGTGGCAACTGAGCGAATTTGCTGTTAAGTAGACAGCGTGCGGTTCGAGTTCCGTCTGAGGCGGAAGTTTCTTGTACACTCCAGAATTTCTTGTGAAACATTCTAACCGCATAATATTTTTCACACGAGAACAGAGGTGTGTAAGGACACGGGGTCGATTAAAGCGTGCGCGGTATGAGGACAGATTAATGCGGATCAGATCTTTTCCAGGTTTACGAGCTTTCCATCCTTGCTCTCTATCATTGGTACCAGACTCGCCTGAGGAAATGAAACTATCGCTTCAGACTGCATGTCCCAAAAAACTCATTGCATGCGATATTCGAACCGAAAGTTACCCCAATCTTTCAATGAAAGAAGGAATGCGGGCTATTCCACAACAGGAATGAACCAACGCGCTCATTCTGTTTCACATTTACTAACCTTCGTCCTGATGTTCGGATGGGTTCAAGCGGTAGATCGCATATGGGGGGAAAAGCAACAATCTCTGTACAAGGACTTGCAGACCCCCGTACCAAACGCCCCCGTACCAAGCCAGTTCCGACTTATCGCGGATGTTTTCTAATCGGAAACATTAATGAATCCGTATTTCGTATTCACTAGGGGTAGAAATGCTTTGCCTGGTGGTGCTGTCAGCACACCCTCGTGGACATAAGCCTGGAAGGAACCTCGCTTAGACTCACTGGCTGCTTCAGCCGTCTGACAGTGTCCCTGGTGTGGAGCGTCGCTTTCGTATTCGCGACGAGACCTGCTGTCTCTGTCCTCGAAGTCAGCCGTATCTCAATGGCACTCAAAGCCAGTAGTCTGACTTAAAGCAATGTGTGTTGGCTGGCATACAAAGTGATCTCAATTAGTCAATATGCTTCGTGTTCTCCCTAATAAACGGTTTACAGAATAGCTCAACGTGTATCCTGAACCTCTCTATAGCCTACAATAATTATCAGCACCCTCCCTTCCTCTTCCCCTCCCATTCTCTTGATGAAAGTTGCGAGCGCGGAACAATAGCATCCGGCTAATCCCGGTCAAGTGTTTTCGTGACATACCTGTCCATGTCGTCACCGGCGTACAGTAGTGGGTGGACGGACACTGGCGATTCGTGGTACATGCACGTGCTGCTCCGTTCTGCTCTTTCCACACCTGAAAAATCGTTTTGATACAAGCTTCCCAGAAAAAAGAATACTAGAAGATTTTTTGTTGCGATATCAAAGGCGCCAAGGCGTTGACACTTCGATGAGCGTTGAGCTTGCAAGATGAGATCAGCCAGGTACAGAAAGGTACCGACAATAACGACAAACATCCGCTCGCACTCTCTTCTCCTGATTAGTCAATAGAGCGCAGATTAGCTGCGGGTCAGAGAGGCGAAGCTTCGTACGTAGACAAACATGACCTGCGCTCGTCAACGTCCTTCCACGCGAAGACGATTGAGCGAATGATGCTGATCAGAATATGCCATGACCTTAGAAAGAACTCAACTCACAAGGAAACAGATAACCCCTGCTGACAAAAGGAGTGACCCTCGATGAGGGTCTCCAGTCAGTTCATCTTTCTTTCCCCTGAGGAACTCAAATCTTTTGCTGGAACCTTGGAAACTGCCCACCTCTCCTCCATCTGGGCAGGACTCCACACGGCAGTAATCTTTGCAATCCTGCTGTGTAGCAAAGTTATTCGAATTGCCATCACATCCGTTGAACGAGTACGTCTGGCAGGTTCTTGTGGTCGAGTCGTAGTACCATCGGGTGACAGCTGGACCACACGACGCGCCAGATTTGTAGGACAGGGAGCAAGTGTATGCTGCAAGAAGCGTATTTTAAGAGTGCTCAATAAATCATCGCCATTACTCGAGCGTCGTTTGATACAAAATCCGTGTTAACATTTTTGGAGGAAAATGAAGAAGGAAAAAAACGTAATGTTTGAGCTAGAAAAACTCTCCTTCCTCATATTTCGGAGTCCGCAGGTTTTGAAAAACCAGAACTTCTAGTAGAACAAGGTTCCCATTTCCTTTGCCCAACTGACTCCTCTACGCGGCGTTCATTGGAAGGAAGCGAGTGGTGTATGGGCCCAACTACACCTTCTTATCTCCCCACAGTTTTTCTTCCCCGGGAGCTATTTTCCCAATTTGCGGAAATATTGCTACAGAGTCCTAGATAAAGGTAGAAGCAGCACAGACGAAGAACTCGCTTTTCCTTTGTGTGACCCAGCCAACTGCATCCCAGCTGAACTGGGTAGTTGGAGTCGTCTGAGTAGACAAAACTATTGATCCTAATCTGATGGTGGGTTGGTCCCTGTTTATCATTTCTTAGATTTAGATCCTCACATGGTCCGTCCGTCCTACCTGATTCTAGAAGGAAGTCATATGCATGGCGCATCCCATCGATGGCAATTTCAGCAAGTCACCTTCACTTGCTTCACTAGAATAACCCTGTTCTCTAGAAGGATTAGACTGGTTCTATACAGTGTTGATCCCGTACATCCCTATTCACCTTTTGGTCTCCCTACCTAAACACGATCCTCTGTCTCACAGCCCTGTGAGCGCATACCTGAAGGGATCCCGTGCCTAAAACCTGCCCTCCCTTCCTGAGCTAAGATCTTACTCCTCCTTCCCTTGAATTCCCCGATTTTCATGTTTCGAAATTTCCACCTCCTCCAGGAGTTCACCTGTAACCCATAAAATCTTTAGGGAAAAATCACCTTGTGTGGGGCAGCATCCATAGGTGGTCCCATCGTAGTAACAGTAGTGATTGGCCGGGCAAGTGGTGGATGCAGCCGTGGTACCACCGCAAATAATGAAGTTACCGTTCGAATCGGTAAGAGCTGTTCCCTGGATGCATTGTGGTTCACCTGAAAAACGTTTTATAATTTTGCCCACGTTTTATTTGTCCAAAAATCTTTAAAGGCTAAGAAGTACTTCTGGCATCACGGCAGTAGTCCTGACACTCTTTGTACGTTTCGAAATTGTTCGCATTTCCTTGACAACCGGAATAGATGAACTCTTCGCAGTTACCGGTTTTCGCGTTGAACCACCAACGATTTGAGTACGTTCCACAATTACCCTGCAAATATACGATGGCTACTGGCCGGGCCGGTGCGCTGTCTTAGAAAGTCTCACGACGGGGCCCGATGACGAACCTGCTCACGCGGAAGTTTGCACACGTACTGCGGACGTGGACAGCAAACACCACCAAAAGTGGTCGATCCTAAAGACTATCCGTTCAACCGCTGGCGGCACAAAATCGATCAGAATCAAACTCGACTGACCTGAAGTACTTTCGCAGGAATGTGTGGATGGACACGAGTTTGCACCACTACCCGTTGGAGAACATTCCATGTTTCGTTCACCGGACGAGTCCTTTAATGGCTCACCGGCAGAAGCAGAGGACTGAAATGGTTCAATAACTTTAGCAAATACATCGAATGGACCTGAAGAGGCTAGGTTTCTTACTTCTCGAGCAGAACTTTTCGCAGTGATCTTGCGACAAGAAGTTGTTGAAGTTACCTCCTTGGCCAAGGTACTGAAAAGTGGGATAACAATACTATACTTTACGGTTTGCATAAAATTTCGATGGCTGTCTAGCCCAGCAATAAGACCCTGCTTAGAACGATTATAAGCAGTAAATTCAGCATGAGCATATAAGTGTGCGATTTGGGGATCGCAATTCGATCGCGGCAGGGCGGCAGCTTATGTTACTACTATTTCCAGGGGTCACTTACATCTGAAGTCATCTCAGAAGTAAAATGTTCCCAACTGAGGCATTTCAGTCAATTTCAACAACTGATCGGCTTCGAAAATTACAGGTTAGCGGTGCGCGCGGTCGCAGAGCGTTCGAATCACGATCGAACATCGGGGAATTTCAACGCACTTTTCTCTCTAACAGTGCTCCTTAGAGTGACCCAAGACATTCTTCTTTTGAAAGATTTACATCCCAGTCTACCCAGCCGCGACGCGACTGCACGCGTCAGTAACAGACGCTGTGCAGAGTAATGAAACGACAACAATCTGCTTTCGGGGTTCTCGAAGCGCACGTTCGCCTCCAGAACTTGTGGCAAGTCTCGAAACATCCTCGCTTCACACTGCTTTCCTTGATATTTCAACGCCCCCTAAGACATTCTTCCCATACCAAGTTTGCGCCGCAGCCTACCGAACCGCAACGCAACCGCACGCGTCAGCAATCCACATTGTGCACCGTAACTATAAACGCACCGAGAACTGAATACATCTGCCTTCTCTGGAATCATAATAGAATCTGGGCGATGTGGTTCCGGTGCCGTCAGGAATTCCTACATCGAAGTATTCTGTTGGAAGACCTCCGGCCGTATTGTACACTTCCGTAGGTATACCACCGTTGCGAGAGCAAATGAACACTACAAAGCGGACTTATTGGCATACAACAAAGATAACCGTAGAAAACTGTCAGGAAATCATTCTTACAGTAGGTTGGGCAACACTGTTGGAGTGTACCCATTGTGGTGCATTGATAGTTCGGATTATTACAACCATTATCGTTGCCTTGGCAATATACTGGTTCCTGCTTGACTCCTGTCGTTCGGTCGCGATACAGAGGAAGGCCTCGGTTGCAAGCTGAAATGGTGCGATTTCGCCACTATATTCAGAACTAATCGGCAAACATTCGGCCAATAGGAGCCTAGAACTCCGCCCAGAGCCTCTGATTGGTGGAACTCTTAGTTTCACTTTCAGTGCAACACAAAACAGCTGCCCATTAGAGAACGGAAAATGAAACTCACTTTGTTTGCAGTATGATTCGCAATGGTCCTTTGTCTGGAAATTATTGGCATTTCCTCCTATAAATTGTAAGATTTGTTCGGCAAGTGATCACAACTGATCTAGACAACATACCGTAGCCTTGGTACTTCAGCTCTCGGCACTCTCCGGTGATCGGATCGTGATACCAATGATTGAGGGTGGTACCACCTCCCGGTGGAGTGTAACCCTCGTTCGGTGGCTGAATGCAAGCGAATGCTGAAAGACATCTTCAGTAGAACTGAGCTGAGAAGCGCACCAAGTAACACCCAAAGCAAAGCTTTTCGTAGATATTGAATGGAAGTACAAGCCTATTGTTCCGGATCGAAGGGTATATTTCATGCTTAGTTGAGGTAATCGCTTCCTGCCGTTTAATGATAGTTCCTAGCCCCGTATAAGTTAAACCGACAAGGACGCTATATTGCCTCCGATGATGGGACAGGGCGCTGGAAGCTTCAAAGCTTCTGCTGTTTGGCGCGGCTC